ATATTACTAACACCTTGAATCAATAAATGCATTGTGAACTCTGCAAAAAAGAACAAGAAGAGTTTGGACCAGATAAGAAGAGCGGACATTCAGTGAACTTATTGAGAATTCGTAAATGTGCGACTTATAGATCGCACGCGAACTTTGGATTCGAAACATCAAGCTGAGATGGACTTGAACAATAATCTAAATAAGCTAATAAAGATCCGAGACCAAATAGAATAAATCAAATCAGAACCTAAATTCAAATCAATTGTCAATATAGAAAATTGAACTTTACTAGGACAGATTCGAAAGCTTGAACACAAATTCAACATCGCAACTACGGCACTGAGACACAACTAAACACTAATCAAGCCTAAAATTGGAATATATTAACTGAGACAGAAGACTTGAACTTGTACTCCTCTATTTCGTTCCTACATTAACGGCTTGAGCACATATTTCGAAGAATCAAGCGAGTACGTTGAGTGAGATAGTAAGAGGCCATAGATATTATTAGACCTTGCAACACTGATCTCACAAAGCTGGTGTCGACACTGGGCATTGAAGGGTTCATAACTGCGAGACGACTCAACACGACTCAATTACAATCCACACACAACCTCTATGGATTATTCACGCTTGTATACACCACGACAAATGCAAATGCCCGGCAATCATACTAGTAGAAGGCTCACTATTAGGCTCTAATTGCGAGACCTACGACCTAGAACAATTGCAATATATAACACCACTATTGAGATTGGAGGGAAAGGTGGGTTCAATACAAAAGCATGGGATCTACAAGCTACGAAAAACTACGAGGTAGAGTCGTAGCGGATACAACTTACATACCTCTCAGCGAAATTGAATACTTATGGAATAAACACAGTGTGTAATGTCGTATTACATCGACTGGCACAGAGGCATACGAATCCACTGTGGTACACATAATAACCAGTAATCCTAACGAGTACGATCCCCTAACGAATAAGGTAAATATAACTAGTATTGAAAAATCAGAACGTTAGATTCAAGATTGCATAATTCAACATAGACGACTGTCGTTGTGCCTAAATGAATCTCAATAGCAAATAATTGCTGTTGAATTGAGATCGGCAATATTAGAAGACCAGCAATCAGATAGGATCCCCACCCCCAATTTCTCTACTCCCACCCTCCACCCCCGCAACAAGTGCAATCGTCACCACACCAGGAATTCGGTGAATAGGGTGGATATGATGCCAGAAGCAATGGCTTACTCCACTATATCTTCATGAGAGGGTTAGGTTAATATGATACAGTACTGAACGCAGTAACGCTTACCATGATGTCCAAATATTAATTCAGTAGGGCTCACTCGCCTGCAGATTGACTGGATAGATTGAGGACCGAACTCCTTCATCGCCTAACTGCCTGTTTGTGCATGGGTTATATGACCTTCTGCATCCTGCCTGTAGCAGGAAACAGAAGGGCGTCGTAGCTTCCAAATTTTCTAACCTATAACCGTACTGCGACGTGACGATAAAAAAGCTATAAAGTGTATACACATAAGGTCCCTCCAAAGGGTGTATATTAAGAGAAAATTCCCCGATAACAGGGCCCGGCAAGGGCGTGTTTAATTTCTGGTAGCAATCCATCGTGACGTGCTAGGGGGAGTGCGGGTTTTAGGAGCAGGACAGAGCCGAAAATTAATGAATCCAAAGTGAAGGTCGTATTGCATGTCCCGACCTCTCGTCCTCTCACTGCGTCCAAGTACGAAGCGCTTCCCATCCAAGCGTTATGTGAAACCCAAAGCAGAGGTATACGGTGATTGGTCGAACCGTTATTTCTTAATAGACATCATAGTAGGCTTCATGGCCGTCAGTAACAATGAGATCACTATCATATGTCAATGGCTCCTAAGCCGTACTGACGCGAAATCCATCTCGAGGACTTAAACCTAGTATATATTGAAGGTGCGACAGGTTCTGAACTGAAATGACCATCAATGTAATCCCCCGGGGAGGCCTTGTTTAAGTGTCAGTAGCTCGAAACTGCGAAACGGGTCTCCCAAAACTCTTAAAAATTCCCGAAGTCCATGTCAATCATATCCAGTATGCTCACGTCATTACATTCATAAAATTCAAAAAAATCCCAAAATTCCCAAGATATTTATTTTGAAATAGATGGCATCAGGACCACCGTAAAGCAAATTCGCTCACCCTCTCGCAACAGTTGTCGGAGTGGACATATTCAAATTATGATATGTTAGCTCATGTAGAGCCAAATGCATAGTTCGGAGAGAATAGCACTAGGATCCATTCTCAAACATTCCCCTGCAATAAGGACAGGTACTGTCGTCAGTAAGCGGATGGTTTGCGAACTAGGCAAATATTGACCAGGACAGTAACGGTATAAGAACATGGGGCCAGTAACTCTGAGCCTGAAGTGGTTCCAAATGGGCACGATGAAATACCGGGTTTTTTGACCATGAGCGCCGATACGTCCTTATTGGCAACAAGATCCTTGGAGTATATGAATCACAGTAGGATAGTTGATGATCAGGCACTAAGAGGTCTCGTTTGTAATCGTAAGGTTGGATTTCGAATTTAGTTCCCTTAGGCAATACAAGCCCGAGGTATACTAGGTCCCTGGACGGATGCCATTACCTCGCATGGCTTTTTCGGACGAAGGATCCCTGTTCTTCGCTCGGAGGTACTTATGAGCGACCCCGCCTCGCCGTAGGTGCCGCACCGGGGTCCCATCCCACCACGCGCACCAAAGGCGTGCTTGGGGCGGTTTTCCGGTTCGCCACGAACATTGAAACAGAGTTTTGAGTTTAGAAAATTTCATACCTCCGCGGCGTTGTCGGGGTTGACACGTGGATCGAGGGGTCACTCGCCTCCCTCGTCGTAGGTGTCGCACCGGGTTCCCTCCTACCACGCGCACCAAAGGCGTGCTTAGGTGGTCTACCGGTCCGACGCGAACATCGAGGAAGGAGAGTGGGGGGGAGCACTTTTAATTAATTATAATTATTCTTAATTAATTAAATTTACTTAAAATTAATTATTATTAATTAAGAAAATAATTAATGATATTTAATAAAATTAATTAAAAATGATTAATTATAATTAAATTATAATTAATTCATATTAATTTACTTTAATAAATGATAATTAATTAATAATAATTTAAAATCATTAATTAAAATTAATTCTAAATAAAATTAATTATAATTAATTAAAAATTAATTATAATCATTTAATTAAAATTAAATATAATTAATAATAATAAATATAAATAATTATAATTAAAAAAAAATATCTCTCCTTCCCTCTCTCTGTTTCGTTCGGGAGATTTACGGGATTTGGCCGAAGAAGCGTGCGGTAGGGAGAAAGTTACCTACACAGCCGCGAGCTCCTGTTCTGGTTCCGATCAAAATGTCGGACTTCCGATCGGAGGGGAGGGGAAAGTCGTCAAAGGGAGCAAAGTCGGACAGCAAGAAGGAGCCGGGGAGTCACGCGTGCAAGGGAGAAAGTTAACTTCACGCTAGCGAGCTCCTGGTTCTTGCGTCCGATCAAAATGTCGTAACTTCCGATCCTCAGCAGGGAAAGTCGGCCGAAGAAGCAAGGTCGGACGGCCAAGGAGGAGTCGGCAGGGCTCGGCGTCGGCTTGGAGAGGAATTTGGCTCAGGTAGCTCTCTCCTCTCTCTCTCTCTCTCTCTCTCTCTCTCTCTCTCTTTCTCTCTCTTGGCTGAAGGAGGAGAGGGGTTGGTCGCTGGGTTTGGTCGATTAGAGGAGCCGGAGGAAGGATCGGAGAAAGGGAAGCAGAGGTCGGGAGCTCGGGAGAGGAGTGAGGATTCGCGTGGAGAAGAGGCTGAAAGCCTCGACGCTTTGGACTTTTAATGACTCGAACGAGTCGTGCGAGCGATCGTGGGGAGAAACGACGCGAGGCACGGCTTCGACGTGCGACGGCGTGCGACGTGGGAAAGCAGTCAGTAGGTAGGATTTGATCTCTTTTTTTGTTTTGTTTGTACAAGTCAACAGCAGGACAATGTACTGAGGTGTTTGACTGCAGTGCAAGACTACAAATGATAAGATGATTGTAACTTTGACAATTGAATGTTGATTGATTGTTTGAATGTTATATTGATTGAAAATTGACCGATTGAAGGGCTGATTGATGATTGAGTGATTGATTTGTTGATTGATGATTTATTGGGTTGAGTGCTAAATGATTGATTGGGTGATTGAAGTTCGACAGGATAAATGATTGGTTGATTTGATTGTAGGTTAGATTGATTAGAAACTGGATGTGATTCATTGAACTTCGAATGATTGAATAGAGATTAGGAGGTTGAATGATTGATTGATTGATGGATTGATCAAAAGGTAGGGTGATTACAATGTTGAATGATTGAATGCTAAATTTATTAGATCTTGATTGTTTGAAGACCGGAGGTATGATTGTCAACCACTAGGTGTATGATCAGGAGTTTGAAAAGTCCTGATGACCTCATACAAAAATGAGGTCAACAACACCTTGCTTAAACTGCTCTACAAGCTTATTTTATCACTAATACTTAATCCCTACTACTATCCTAGCTAACTATAGTACCAAAGCACATGCTATCTTTTCAATTCTGTTTTACTGTTTTTAGAAACTAGTATATGAATATGTTAATATATAAAGCAGCTGCAGCTTGTAGAGGGATATACATAAATTAATAGAAATCCTCACTGTTCGTTCTTCTTTCGATTACTTCTATTCATCTGTTTTTCCTATTTCATTGCTTCCACAGCAGTTATTATATATTTTGTTCATGTTAATGTATTTTACTGGGATCTACCCTCAAACTTCACACCTATACTCTTTGACATCACCCATTTGGATACTGCAACAATAACATGTACGATGAAGTTACAAATGCAGAACAATCAAAATGAACAAAATTAAGTTGCATAAGTCATTTAGTGAGTACGAATAGTGATGCAATATGCTGCGGAAGAAGCAAGTAACACAAAGACACAAGCAAATACACAGGAATAACTGTGATAACTTTGGTATGTAAAAACTAAGGAAATACTGTTCTTCTTCCCTGGAAGAAGATAGACTATCAAGAGAGTTCATTCTCTCTTGCTTAAAATGGCCAAGCCAAGTAAAAAAGCAAATCCTGTACTATAGAACTGTACATGGTAAGTAAGAGAGTGAATACTAATATTCCCTAACAGAAAAGCTATAAGCACTAAGTGGTAAAATGAACCATAGGAAGATAACGGTTATGATGCACCACATCAAATAGGAGCTGAAGCTAGCCTTCTCCGCCCCCTTAACTCTTCTAACTTCTTAAATCTCTGAGCCCTCCACTACCATGCCTTCTTGCTTCTCAGCTTCTACCTCGCCTTCCTTGAGTTCTTCAATCTGTGAACCCTCCACTACCATGCTTTCGTCCTTCTTGTTTTCTTCACTGGCTTCTACCTTCTTCCCTTCCAAGAATTTGATAAGGCATCGCATGGCATCATCACTGTCATCACTCTTCATCAACTCTTCGGCAACCTCAGCTGGCGTGGCTGCAACCTCCCTCAGTAGCCTCTCGACCTCTGGTTTGAGAGTATGGTTATCGACATTGTGGTAGTTGGAGAGCAGAGTCATGAAGCTAGAAGGGCTGCAATATGACATATGGATGTGCATATCCATCCTGCCTGGCCTTAGCAATGCAAAATCAAGCATTTCTTTGTAGTTGGTTGTGAAGATGATGATTCTCTCATCTCTGCATCCCGACCACAGACCGTCAATGAAGTTGAGCAGTCCTGATAATGTAACCTACAAAAAAAAAAAAAAACGTATTTGTTACTTGAACCTGCTGAAGCCACATAAAAACTCAAGATGTCCCTGAAATCTTAGTTAATAAAGCCCCAAGAAGTTTATTTTCCTTAAAGGGATTTTTACATGCAGAGAGTTAAAAACCAAATTAAGAGAGAGATACCAACCTTTTCATTATGGTACTTATTTCGACCCCTTGATTTCGTTTCATCCTCCTCCTTCTTCTCTAGCAAATCTATTGTGCAATCGATATCCTCGATCACAATTATCGATCGATTCGCTGTTCCAACAAGCAATTGTCTCAACCAAGAATTCGACTTTATCTCTGTTAGCTCAAGATCATAGATATCAAACTTCAGGAAATTAGCAATTGCTGCTATGAGGCTGGACTTTCCAGTCCCTGGAGGTCCATACAACAGATACCCCCTCTTCCATGCCTTCCCTACTCTTCTGTAGTAAGCTTTCCTCCTTACAAACCTTTCCAGATCCTCCTTCACTGACCTTTTAAGCTCAGGATCCATCGCAAGTGTGTCGAAGGTCGAAGGGTGGTCGAGGTTCACTCCATTCCAGATACCTTGAATCAAACCCTGTTGCAGTTTTGCATAATCACCAGAATAAATTCTGATTCGCTTCTCTTCCTGCTTGATGTTTTTTGAATGCTGCAGAATGTGAGGCAGGTATACATAAAGTGCTTTTTCCTTGTGCTTCTTGTGAAAGCTGAGAACGAAGAATTTGGTCTCAAACATTGAAGTCATGGAGTCCTTGCGGCGCTGATTGAAAACTAGCTTCTGTTTCTCTTTGCATATCAATTTCCATCTGAATTCAGTCCCTTCGAACAAGTCGACGACCGTCTCCCCTACCTCCATGGTGACCTCCAGGCCCTTCGAGTCTTCCTGCTTTGCAACTTGAAGGCAACGTGTGTAGGGAGAGATCTTGGAGCTAAGGTAAGTCTGAACAGCCTGGTACATCTCATTTGGCAAGTTGCCACGGAATTCGTGGACATTGATGGTGAGCTTAGAGGAAGAGGAGACTCTTGTGAAGAAACTGAGTGCAGAGGAGAAGATCTGGTCTCTGATCTTGCGGGGGAAGAACTCTTGGACCATCGAACGGATAATCACCGCAGAGGCGGCTATGGACGCCGCGGCAGAGAGCATTGTCTTAGTTGTGGCCATTGATGGAGAGAAAGAGAGAGAGAGATTACGAGGGATGGATGTGGAGAGAGGATTCCTGCGAGCTTGCTGGTTATGTGGAATAGTCTGCTCGCGGTTGTTGCTTATATAGGGGAAGAAGGCATTTGTTGAAGACCGTTAATTAGGCTCAAGTGAAATTGCTTGGAAGGATTTAAATTTTATTAAGTTTCAATGAGTTAGTTTTTAATCATTCAATATAATTTTTTTTACTTAAATAAAATAATAATCTTATCAACAAAAAAATTATCCTTAAATTCAAGCATAAATGAATCATAACCTCATAATCCAATAGATGGTGATATAAAATTAATGATTCAGTCAAAATAATTTTTTCATTTATTTGCTTTTCAGATAATAAATAAATAACTATAATTCAATTTTACCACAAATTTTGTATGGATTTTCAAAATTTTATTTGATAAGAAATAATTTTAATAATTAAATATATTAAAAAATAATTGTTATAATTAGTTTTTTAAAAGGAAAAAGTTTACAATAATTTTTAAAAAATTTCGTCATTATAATTTTGCATCAATTTTTATAGATGAATGCAGACACTCCAAACTAAAAGTAAAAATATCATAAATGAATGAACTTCTCTTAATAAGCTTTCAAAAATAGAGGTATCTAAACAACAATTTAGATTTCATTTGGGATGATTTTTTTAATACTTCTTAAAGTAATTTTCTAATCCAAAAAATTTAATTTTTGTTCTAAAAAATTATTTTAAGAAGTGAAAAAATCATCTCAAACAAAGCCTTAATCATCATCAAATTAGCATTGAAGCCCTGACAAATAGTCAAATTTGCATTGAAGTTCAAGAGCACTCATAGGCTTTCTGTTTTCTAAATCAAAATTTTAGTACAAAATTTTTTTTACTAAAAAATTAATTTAACGAACAGAAAAAAAAAATGGTTCCAAATGAAGTCTAAATGAGATTCATATTAATTATACATTTATGCAATTTAAACTACATTGGTGCCTTATTTGAATATTTCTTATTAAATGACTTAATTAGTAACTTTATTTGAAGAAAAAATAAATTACTATAAATAATAAAAGTTTTATTCACACAAATAATGCTCACTATACTATGTTTGCTTTAGCAAGACCTTTCTAGTTACATTTACAGTGAAATCCTTTCAGGAATTTGGGAGAAAACAGTAACTACAACACAACTTTAATTGCAAACATTAGTGATATAAAATAAAAGGAATGGACAAATTGTAGTTTTTGATGCATTAAATATAGTAAAACTGATGTAAAATATATCCTTAGAAATATTCCAAATTCACCAAAATTGGGCAAAATCAAAACCATTCTCTTATTGAAGAATCGCAATATTATTTTGCTGTTACCATCTTAGGGTTCCTCGTGAAGGACCTGATCTTAATGGCTACAACACAAACAAATCTCGAATTAGGGAGTTTTGGTCATTACCATCTTGCAAGCATCTTTGTTGGCTGTTAAGCCCTGAAATATCTTCTGAAATAAGATCACAGTCTTCATCGCATGGCAAAATAGTTATGCAGACAACTAATCCACATTGCTTCCATGATGAATTAAGCATAAAGCTCAGACATTTCATGCGGCAATCCATCAACTTGTTCATCTGCATGGTTTGGAATTATTTCATCCTGAAATAGACATCAAACAATTTAAATTTCGCATGTTACACGAAGCATAGAAAAAAAAAGATCAATATGGTGTTATGAAGTTCATTAAGTAGAGCATTTAATTGGTAATCATGCAAAGGGAGAGGCAAATGCACTATCTACTACTGACTTAGGCTTCGTTTGAGACGGTTTTCTTATTGCTTCTTAAAACAACTTTTTAGTACAAAAGTTACAATTTTTGTACTTGAAAGCTGCTTGAAGAAGCAGTAAAAAAGCCGTCACAAACGAAGTCTTAATTGAATGGGTAATATATGCTTGACTTTCCAAGATGTCAAAAGTTCAAAGCCTTCGAAAAAAAAAAAAAATCCCTATAAGCTTCAGAAAAATCAGGGAATGAGAAGATTAATCAACAGCAAAATCAAATGCCTATGCCAAGCCATCAATTAATTGGAGATAGCCACCATAAATTGCTCTTGGATTTCTTTGTGCCATCTCAATAACAACATAAATAATTTAGCACATCACATTAACAATGTCCAGATCAATGAAAGGCTTAGTAAAAAAGTAACTAGCCATTTTAGTTCCCTCTCCATATAGATGTGTAGCCTGTAGTAGTCACTTGTTCAAGAGAACAGACCCCTCTTTAGAAAACCATTAATGAATCTTCTATAAATATCGTTGGAATATGGACCACAATATCTGAATAGTTGTTTATGAGTGTTTAACTATGAAAATTCACAGAGATTGGACCATCTATCAACATATGTACTGAGCCCACTCTGCCCAACTCCAAGTTTGCTACCTTTAACACCAGCCAAATTAACTCATTAGGTCAAAGGAAAATAATCAAGCATCCATTCCCAGGTGATTTAACAGGAAGAGCTAGCTGACCTATGTGGTCTCATATGATTTATACAATCTTAATTGACCCAACCAGTTCAACTTAGTTCTCATCTAACTCAATCTGGACCTAGTTGACCTAGTGGTTCTAACCTAAACTCTACTAGTCCAGCCAAGTGGTGCAATTAAACCCTAAAACCACTTGCTTGCAACCAATCTCTGGTGGGCAAAGTCAATTCAGTCAATTAAGTCAAATTGAGTCTTGACACCACGTTAAACCCAAATAAACCACGCTTAGGCTTGATCCTAGAGCATGCCACAAGCTCGACTAAAGCAATTCTAGCACAATCTTGCCCATATGGTCCAAGCCAAAGCCTTGTAATTAACCTAGAGGTTAAAATTTCCATAGCTATGGGTTGTTAACATGGGTCTATAATTCCATGGATAAACGCCTAGTGCCATGACAAGCTTCCTTAAATGTGCATTGCCAGGGTAGACTCTTAAGTCGTGGTCACTACTCTAAGCCTACAATTTCTATAGTTTTGCTTCCCACCTCCTAGCTATTGCTGATGGGGCCACAAAAAATAATTACAAGGGAAACAGGTCCCAATCCATCACCGTGAGACTTGAGGCACTTGGTGCTCCCATCTTGCAAGATGGAGGGTCAGTCATCACTTATGGCCTTAGCACCTTTCGTCCCTTCCAAAATAGGATTTAGTTCATTACTCACATTTTTCTTCTGGAAGTCTATCATCCTAGAAATCAATAGAGTTGATCCCAATTTGAACCATCTACTGAAACTATCACATCCTTGAATTATTGTACAATAAGATGAGTTTGATATGTATGATTAGCATTTTTGGAATAATTCGGTGTTTCTTTTGTGAGCTCTCTTCACCATGTTATTGTATATTTCATGAACTATAATAAGCAAATCTTTGTGTAAATTTTCAAGCATCACATGTGTGTGGTGAGAGAAGAGTGTGGTACTTTTCTTTCCTCCTTGGATCTTTTAGATAGTTGGTGTATCTGGCTTCCTTAAGAAGCCTCTTGGTTGGTCATATCCCTTTCAAGGGTGTTTGTAGAGTAAGAGAGAGGGAGAGAGCATATGAGAGAATGAATAAAAAGGAGACACAAAATGAAGGAAAAAATAATTCTTTATTCCTTTACACTTTAAAAATCAATTCACATAAATAAATATGATTTTGCAAAATAGCAAGAGATACACCTAATACAACCTAAAATAGGAAATACACCAATACAAAATTTCAAAATCAGAAATCCCATAATTTTGTAATAGATATGGAAAAATAGGAATAAAAACAAAGATATTAGAGGGACAAAACTAAAAAAGAAAAAGCTAGTAGACTACCCAATCTATTTTTTATCCAAATAATTAATGAGAGTAGAATTGGTAGTTAGATGCAGTAAGCCATCCACACAATATGCTAAAATCCACCACATTAGTGCGAGTAAATCTGGAATTATTTTGGAGCAAATATACATTCGATTGGAGCACAGGATCAAGGATCTTAAATATTGACAATCAATAGTTTCCAAATAAGATGGAAACTACTCTAAGAATCTATCTTTTTCATTCTCCCCTTCAAGCTGGATAATAATTGTTTAGCCTTTCCAACTTAAATAAATAGGTTGTCCAAGTTATTTCTTGAGAGAAATTTATTTGAGATATTGGTAATTTGTAGATCAATTGGTGTGTATTGAAGTGAAATAATCCGCATGAGAAAATATTCATGCATATTCAATATTCAAGTATACAAATACAAAAATTTAGACTGAATCTCAACCAAGCTCAATACAATCCAATGTAGATCAATTCAAGTTTGGTTTGAGATGAGCTTAACTCATTAATCAACTCATTGATTTTGATACAAAGTAAAATATAAATATATCTTCAAGCATTCTCCAATGTCCATGTTAAATTCTAAGCCCTATTAAAAATAATACGGGTGGTTGGCAAACATATGCTAGCATCTATAAGGCCACCGGAATCAAACTAAATGTGTGGATCCATGTAAATGATAAGGTCAGACAAGGCATAGGCACATAGAGCCACTTTTGCAAGGGAATCAGGATATGAAAACTAGCTCAAAACCACAATTTTGATATAAAAAGGGCAGCATTGAATTAAATGGGAGAATGCTTCTCACCACAATAAATAAATAAAAAAATAAATTCTCTATTGATCTTATTTTCATTTATTCAATATAGAGAAAAGTACCAAAATGGTCCATTGACTCTTTCTGAAAGATTAAAATGGTTCCCAACTATATTAAAGGATCATTGGTCCCTTATAGTCCATCAACTCCTTGAAGAGGAACAAAAATAATCCCACAATGAAACTATTTTGATTCTTTTTTAAAGACCAAAATGATTCTTTAATATAGTCAGGACCATTTTGGTTATTCAAGAGACCATTTTGATCGTTTTTTCCCATTCAATATATATCAATGAGTTGCTATGTTTAATCTTTTACCACTACATTAACTGATATCTTGCCCCAGCAATAAAAAGGTTATACCTAGTTCATGAGGCTTTGCCAACTATGGGCCTCAAACGAGAGTTGATGTATATGGTCTTAGCTTCTATCATAAGGGTTGTTTACCTGATTTGAAACCTAGCCACTTATGTCACAATGGTGGCAATCAAACAAATACAATGTGACCCACCCACACATTGAAAATAAAGTAAGCAAGATCTGCCCAACATGTGGCCCAATTAATTAGCCCATCTCATGGAAAACAAAACAATCTTGCCCGTCACCTCATATTGCAACAGATCTGGTAATATACATATATATATATATATATATATATATATATAGATCTGGTAATATATTTAAGTCTTCATAATAATCCCGATACTTAACTCCTAAATAGCGACATAATTTTGGTATTTTTCCCATTCAATATATATCGATGAGCTGCCATGTCTAATATTTTACCACTGCATTAACTGATATCTTGCCACACCAATAAAAAGGTTATACCTAGTTCATGAGGCTTTTCCAACTATGGTCCTCCAAGGAGAGTGGATGTATATGGTTTTTAGCTTCTAACAGAAGGGTTGTTTACCTGATTTGAACCATAGCCACTTTTGTCACAATGGTGGCAACCAAACAAATACAATGTGACCCACCCACACATTGAAAATAGAAGTAAGCAAGATCTGCCCAACATGTGGCCCAATTAATTAGCCCATCTCATCGAAAACAAAACAATCTTCCCCGTCACTTCATATTGCAACAGATCTGATATAAAATATTTAAGTCTTCATAATAATTTCGATACTTACTCCTAAGTAGCGACATAATGTTATTTAAGAATCTTAATAAACTTACTTTTATATCTTTCATTGCTTTGTCAGCAACAGACTTGGAAGCACTGATGCTAGCACTTTTATGAAAATTGCAGGAAGTGCAATTAGGTTTGTTTAGGTCAGCTTGGATATCTAATTCACAATTTGGCCCGTTACTTTGATTAGACCTCGGAGGGCTTTGAACAGCAGTTTGAGCAACAAAATCTACACTTTTCTCGAAGTCCTTGTTATGATCAGGAACTTCATCCTTTGGCACATAGATCCTTTCCCTGGAAAAACAGAGAAATACAGACCAAATGTGAAAAGGCTTCATTCCACATTCAATGATAAGATAAATAGGATTTCCTAGCATCGGATCATTCAAGAACCTAACAGAACAGTGCTACTAAGGTTTCGTTTGGGACAGTTTTCTACCTGCTTCTTAAAGCAGCTTTCGAGTGCTTTAAGAAGCACTAAGAAAGCTTTCCCAAATGAAGCCTAAATTGCAGCTGTCTAGGACTCATGATATCGTTTAACTTTAAGCTACCTTGGTAAAGATGCATGCTGTCGCTGTAGCAGAGTGCTTTTTTCTCCTTTGCAATAGTTCTCTTCAAGATGAGCAAATTGTCGTTTAAAACGATCAACACCACTGTCAACAGAATTAAGCATCAAAATCAATTAATCAAAATATTAAAATAGTATGTATAACATAACTTACCTCCATAGCATCCCTAAATATAAATACTGAAGGTTGCAATAGCAGCTTAAGCACAAAATAAAATCTTCATAGGTGTAAGCATCTGAATATCCACAAAATAAAAAATGCAAGAAAATGTAAATGAAACAAGTGGATATAAGAAAAGAACGGATATCGAAATTGAAAAACACTAGTCTAGCATGCAGATGCATATAAAAAACGAAAATAAGAATGCCAGTTTAGCATCACAACATTAGACAACGCATGACAAATATAAGTGTGCAGGTTCTTTTTGGCATTTTTAAAACTGAAAGAGGTTAAAATACGCTACATAGAAATAATTTATATGGAGTTGACATGTAGTCAAAGCATATCAACTTCTAAAAATCCCCTTGAACATGCTTTGGTCGGCCCTTGCACAGAGGAGGAGAAATGATGGTTGTATCTCCCTCGCATGCACTCTATCTTGTCATCAAAGCTGGCGTATGGCCCACAAAGCCTCCTTGATCAACAGTCAATCGGTGGAACTGAGTTTTCAATAGTCTCTTGAACGGTGACCACATCATACTTTACAGGTCATAATTTTGAGACTCTACATTCCACCACATCAAAGTATAGCCAAAAAGTTTCTATCGAGTAAATGCAGCTTTTCAAGCATGTTTATGCAAAATAAGAGAAGCAAATCTCTAACTATTCGATTCAACTATATATCTATGGTTTCTTCCAACATCAGTAATCCAGCTTCATAGCGAACTTGCATGCTAAAAATTCTAGGAAATCTTCCCCTCTTCATCCCAAGAGGCTCATTTATCATTATCTTCACCGTCGAGACCATGGTCCCATTACCTTAATTTTTTTGGAAAGAAAATGGTTCCACAATGCTAAGAGACATAAGTTTTTTCAAAGTCATTCATTCAAAAGAGATTCCGAACATGTCTTCCAAATTCTCTAAACTCATCTTAAATCCCTCCTGATAGGTAGTAGTCTTGGTAGGTGTTGGCTCAAGAAAAAAAAAATGGTGCATCGGCATGAATCCCGCTTGACAAATATAGGATTCCATTCTCCTTAAGTCAAATAATAATTAATCAGATTTCCTTTGAAGATATTGTCAGGGTTTAGCTAGATTGTGATCCTTACTTCCATGAGCACAATCACTCATAGTTAATTACCCCTCTTAACATGTAACTAAGGAACTCTCAATTAATGATGAATAATTTTAGATATTTTAAATCTCTATTGTAGGAAAAAATGGAAGTAAACCTGATCAAGATCCCATGGTTCTATCGTCCCAGGTATATTGTAGGTTTCAGTCTACCAACACTAAAGATCATTAATCGTAGTGTCTAAGTAATCTGATTAGCAATCATGGATTGCCTTCTCTCACGAATCCCGAGTACACTGAAATGGTTAAAGTTAGGTCGTAATAATAATTTTTTTATCGTGGTTTGGGATTTATATATATTAAAATACCCAATAATTGGTTTAGTTTGAGATTTATGACTTCGTTTAGAAGTTATCCATTTGATTGAATTGGTCCATGGATTGCAACTTCAGTTAGAAGTAGCCCGATCGTTGTAGAAGTTGATCTTATGGATTTCATTGAAAGTAACCCGTAGGTTTGGTTAAAAGTTCCTCATTTTTTGTTGCAGATCTTACAATTCCCCATGGAAGATGCCTGACTATTTTGATAGGTCTTATGGCTTTTAGATTTAGAAGTAACCTAAGGGTGAGTCTTACAACCTATCCCTTAGACTAAGTTACCCATAGGTTTTATTTGGATAGATCTCAGGACTTCCCTTAGATGTTGCCTGGATGTTTGGGTTTTAGGATTGTTGTATTTCATTTAGAGGTTTCACTAACGTTTGAGTCTTATTGCTTCACTTAAAAGTAGCTCATATGTTTGAGAGGTTGGGTCTTACTGCTTTCATTGAAAGTAGCCCGATTAAGTTGATTAAAAGCAGTTCTTACTGGTTCCCTTGGAAGTAGCCTATATGTTTATTTGGACAAGTCTTAAAACTTCCCTTAGAAATTGTCTATTGATGAGTCTTACAACCTAGCTCTATAGCAAGGCTACCTGTAAGTTTATAAGACTTACTGCTTTCCTTTGGAAGTTGCTTGTTTGTTAAGTTTATGGTAAATTAGATAGTAGTTACTTTAGTTTAGTTCTTTATTGTCTTCACACCAGTGTTTTCTTTTAGTGCTCACTTTTATTTCAATACATGCTTTTCTTTCAGTACATGTTTTCTTTTAACACTGTAGTTTAACTAAGCACTTATTATTTTCTTGTTTTAGCAATTTAGTTCCAGTACTTTGCCTTTTCTTTCAGCAGTTTAGTTTTAGTAATTTGCTTCTTTCTTTAATACTACAATTTTGTTGATAGTACTAAAATCTGCCTATTTATTCATTTGCAGGAGTTCGTGTTGCTTTGGAGCTTGCCCATGAGCATTGGAGAGCTTACATAGGTATTAGGTTTTGGAGTTTATGGAGATTTTTTTTTTTAGAGCTGTTTTGTTTGAGAATTTTGTTTGATGTTTTATTTTTAGAATTTCAGGTATTTTAGTTGGTGTGTGTTGTATTATGGTTCATTAGTATGAAAATTGCTAATTATGCATTTTATTTTATTTAAAAGATTTTAAATTGGTTAATTAGTTTTAATTAATTAAAAAAGGGTTCAGTTTATGAATTATTAAATTAGATTTTTAAAATTAAATTTTATTTTTTAATGAATTGTGAACTTTTTAAATTGATTGATTAAGAGTATAGTGTATTATTAAATTGCTCAATTGATCAAATTTCAAATGTATTTTAAAGTTTGAGTAATTAATTAAATAATTAGGTTTAAATTTATTTGAAATTGAATGATTAATTGTTTAATTAATTTTAATTTACTCAATTAATTAAATTGAATTCATTTTTTAAAGTTTAATTAATTTGAATTAATTAAATAATTATATTTTTTAAAGTTATCTTTGAAACAATTAATTGATTTAATAATTAGATTTAATCTTTTATTTTTTAAAAAATTAGTTAATTAATTTTAAATTTGTTCATTACATTTTAAATTTAATTAATTACAAGTTAGTTAATTTTATTATTTTAATTAAAATTATGAAAAATTAAATTAAATAATTATTTTAATTATAAAATTATAACATTACTCTCCAATGACTCCAACAACAATTCGGTAGCTTCCCGTGATGATTTCAGCAGCCTCCCGACATCCCTTCCCTATGAGGGGAGGTCGGGATGGTACTTGCCATGGTTTACACCTGCTCGGATCAAAGATACTACGGCACAGGGTCATCAAATTTAAAAACATCCTACCAAATCAAAGATCGATGGCGTAGGGTCTTCGGATTTAAAATTCGTTCCACCCAGATTAAAGATCAATGGCATAGGTCTTCAAATCGGCGAATACATGTTGCCCTTTAAATTTCATAATTTACCTTTTAATTAAAATTCATTATAAAGATATTCAAACAATCCAATAGGAGGCGGAACAACACTATTAATAAGCAAGGCTATGGTCAGTTGAAAGCGCGAATAAAATTTTTTTTGTGAGTTAATGTAAATTGGAGCTGGAGAGGGTCACGCACAGGCTAGGGTGTCGTACAAACAAGAGAAATTATTAGGTCCGGTCACCAGACCTAATTTTGCGTTCGGAAACCCGTGCTTTTCATGCGCTTTTGATGTATTTTTGTAAAAGGACGGCTAATATGCGCTTTTACTGCGCATATTAGCTGTCCTTTTACTGAGTATTTGAAAAGTGCAGCAAAAGGGCACCAAATACACAATGAGTGAGATATTTGTAGCGCTTTTGCTACGCTTTTGATGTATTTTTTGCAAATAATCAACAAAAAAGCAGCTAATATGCAATTAAAAGTGCATATTAGCTATCCTTGTGCAAAAAATACATCGAAAGCGCATGAAAAGCGCACGGGTTCCGAATGCAAATTTAGGTCTGGTGATCGGACCTAATAATTCACCGACAAACAGAGTAAGTAGAAGGGTTGATCTCGTGAGACGTGGTTCCACTTACTGCTCACGTGTGAGGTCAAAGATACACAGATGGGAGTTCGGTTTATCATGAGTTTGGCTGCTCGGCGAGTTACCAGAGACAAAGCCGAAGACACGGAGGCAGGGCTAGCGTTCACGTGGCTAATGTTGGATGCAGGAAGTCGGTCGTGTGGAGGCGATGGAAGACGAAGCAGATGTTCGCGTGTGAAGTCACACGTAAGGGAGGCTTGGGCTCACGTGGATAGCGCTGAACGGGAGGTAGATGGGATTAGAGTTGGACAGAGGTCTATAGAGCGAATGGCTGAGGAGTTGGGTTACGCACGATTGTGCTTGCGGTGTAGGTCGGACATGGACAGGGAGCTCGACTTCTTGAACAAACTGAAGCCAAGGAGCAAGATCAATTAGAGAACACAATCGGGATGAAGCAATTGAAATCAGCGCAAGTTTCGCTTATGTTCTCCACCTTTTTATTTATTGTGTTGTTGAGTGGATGTGTCGTTTGGTAAAGAGTAGCGACGACTGCATTTTTTCCTCTTTTTATTTATTTATTCAGTCAACAGTAGGTCATCATTGATTTATGATTTCTTTAAAACTGATGAATTCTTGATGTTTTTTGTGATTGGAATTGTGAGTGACTTAGTTCTCACCGTCCCTTAACAACTTTGCCTGCTAAAATCAGGAACTAAGTGAGTGATGGCCTCCAACAGGATGGTCAAAGGTTGATGGAATAGTCAAAGAAGACCGGGATATCTCAATGACCTTCCTTGAAGGTGTAAGAGGCCTCATTGTTGCTGAATCCTTGATTTTTACAAATCTGTAAATAAGGAAACAAATAATAAATTAGTAAATAATGCAACAAACCTAATGAATCCTTGATTTTTACAAATCTGTAAAAAAGGAAATAAATAACAAAATTCCTTAATTCAAATATTCTAAATCCTAACAAACTGGAAACCAAGTTCCTCCTTAAGAGGGATGACCAATCCCCCTCCCTGGCTTGGCTTCATTGGGCCAGTCCAATGGGCGGTACTGTGAGCCTTAATCCTCTACATTCAAAAAAGAAACCATGGCATAAAAGTTATCAACCAAAGAAGTTAAATTTTATTAGTAACTAAAAAGTAAAGATATATGACATGCATGTTGTTTGGTTCGCTAAAAAAGAAATATAGTGCAAAAGAAACACAATATACAAGGAATACAGTGCAAAAATAACACATTGTAGTTGTTTGGATGAATATAAAGTAAATGCAGATGAATGTTTTTTTTTTTGTTTGATTTGAAGTAAATGAATGTAGTGTAAAGTCCCAAGATGGTGATGGCGGCCAACGACAGCCGCAGGTGGCGACAGTGCTGGCTGGCGAAGAGTGGCGGTCGGTAATGGCTGGTGGCGGCCAATGGTGGTGGTGGTCAGCGACAAGTGGAAGCGGGTGTCGGTTGGCGGTGACAGATGGTGGAGGCTAGCGGTGGTGGCGGTCGACAGCAGGTAGCTGCGACAGCTGATGGTGGCTGGAAGCAGGTGGCAACGACCGGTAGTGGTGGGTGACAGAGATCAAGTGAGCTTGCTTGTGGTGTAAATGGTTCTCACTCAAACCTGGGCGAGTTTAGTTTATCACAAAAATAAACTTAAATGGTTTACAATACATTTACTTTATTTTGCATTCTCTTTTCTTCTAACAAAAGATCAATATTTTTAAAACCCCTATATTTAAAAATACTGAACACCCATTTAACTTCCAACCAAATAGCCCCATAGCAACAAGAAATAACTCGTACCTCGGATACATAAAGCTAATCTGCTCACCACCTTGAAGATACTCCTCTAACATCTTCGGATGATACTCTAAAATCTGTTTGCTTTTAAAGAACTAATCATTGTACGTACAAAATTTATCAACCATAAGTTGCATTTAAATCAAAGAAAATAAAAGGTTTATGTCATACCTCTCGATAAATCAATTCTCTTACATCATCTTTATTCAATTTCTTCCTTTCAAATTCAAACTCAAGCTTCGATATGGCCCGGCTTGAAGGTTCCTGATCTACATTGGCAAGACCTTGAAAATATGGATCAGCAAGTGCCTAGTAAAACAATGCAAGCTTATAACCAGAGTGCAAGCAACCAGATGTTTCTTTAGTGATTAACAGAATATAAAATTTCATACATCCTTCATATGCTAAATCATACCTCCTCAGCGGACGGCCTATCTTTTGGATCAAATGCAAGCAAGCGCTCTAATAATCGGACAGCAAAAGGATCTGCATTTGGGAACTTCTGTGAAAAAGGAACTGCCAATTTTTTCCGCATATTGTTAAGGTACCTTCTAGCTTTTTCATTTCGAATCTGCAGGTTTCATATTCATTGCACAATAGAAAGTGTCAGCAGCGTTCATTCCTAATTATAGAAACACACTATAAAATCATAGGTACAAAACATGCTGAGTGAATGAAAAGAACAATTAAATAGACTCAAACAGATTACCACCCATGTTCCAAGCCGGCTAAACATCCATAGAATCTTCCAAAAAGTTTGCCAAAAAAACAGAATTTTCAAGTTTCAACATTTTATTATTAACATTCATATATTTTTCATGAAAGACCCATCGCGAGACTCAGTTCAGCATAATAAAGGTTGAAGACTGAAGTTAAGCTCACAACTAATAGAAACTAAACTAGAAATCCGTGAACTCCTAAATAATAGATGACTGCTAGGGTGTTTTCTAGAAACAATGAAAAATGACCTAACTTAATTGTGGGCCTACCTAAATAGTTGCAATATGGATAGTAAGGATCGTGATGGCTACATGAATTTTCCCATTCTTCCAAAAGTTACGAGACAATCTCATAGAACCTATAGTAGGAACACTTCAATTTATAAATGGATTTAAGATATTCTAATACAACTTTTATTTTGTTAGGGTAAAATTTACAATAGAAGAAACAAAATATGAATAAAAGGATAGAAGGTAAAATTAATACAGTAGCTTGAAATCCAATTGAAAAGTTGACTTGGAGAAACTTTTTGGAAGAATTGTTCATATCACACCATTGGATAGAAAGATCAAGTGATCATGGGTCCACAAATAAAGACAAATCACCAATCAAACATTGACCACGAACCTGACTGGCCCCACCTTACCCACATCGCTCATAACTCCCCAAACAGCATGCAAAACGGACGCTTCCTTTTGTTCTCACAAAAGGGTACGCAAAGCAACCGAACAAGGGATTCATTCGACTCTCTCACGCACGAAACCACTCCCGCTCGCCCCCTCTCTCGCTCGATCTCCATCTGCGCGTACCTTCGCCGCCCGATCAGGACCCGCGCCCAAACCGCAGCTTCCGCATGACTACAGCCGAAGTAGCGCTCGGCCGATCCTACTCCGACCCGCTTTCACCCCGTTCCTGTGAATCAACACGTGGAAGCCCGTATGCACAAAGTAATCGCACCTCCTACACCAGCGCTTCAGCCCAACTGTCATGTTTGCCCTGCTTTGACCCGACCTCCTATATCCGATCTGATGATCCCACCGTTCGACTCAACCCTCAGTTACTCAATCACTGGGTTAGAACGATATTCAATCGCCTATAGCCGCCCCTTTACAGCTCTACAGAACTAGCCATCCGCACAATCCATCTGTCGTCATCCCTATCTAAACATTAAAATCTATAAAATTGTACCATTTTTTTCTATTTTGGCTTGCTTGAACGATAGGTATCCAAGACCTATGCCATTGTATTTTAGATCTGGCAACGAATGCTCAGCTTGAATACCTCGTGCTGTTGTATATCGGGAAGAACTTAATTGAAGATCTCGCATTATTGTATCTTAGGTCCAGCCAAGAAGAACCAAAGGCAAGCATCTTTGAACCTCCCTTCATGAGAAGGGAATGTCGGGAGGCTGCTGAAATTTTGAACAAAATAAAGGATCCTCACATAATTAATTTCAAACATAATTGGTCATTTTAAATAAGATAATAATAATAATAATAATAACAATAATAATACTAATAATTAAAAATTAATTATGTGTCGTTTTAATTTATTTACAAAAAAAGGGAGGGGAAAATGATTTGACTCGATTTAAAATTAGTTCAATATATGATACATGCAGAATTAATAAATCTCGTGATTCATTAAGAGTTTGCACTTAAAGAAATTGTAAAATTGCTTAATTCATTCTCAACTTAAGAACAACAATAATTACACAAGTTCATCTCCTAATTATGGGCTCCAAAAATTCACACACTAGCCTCTCTGTGACCCCTTTTTTTTGTGTGGTTGAGGAGAGTTTTAACAAGTTCTGAGGCAAATTTTCAGAAAGCATATTGGGTTTTAGAAAAGATATTACCCAGAGAATTCACCCTCATTTTGCAAGGAATTTATAATCTAAGTTCAGGTTTCCTATAGGCGCAAGCCCCTAGAGTTCATTACCCCTACCGATAATGAGAGAGAACTTTCGATTAAGGCTAGTTGTCAAACAAATACATAGTATCCGACATATAATAGCAATAGATTTTAATATTTAAAATTGAAATTTATATCACCACCCATTTAAAGCGGATAATGGGGGGAATGATAATGAACCCAAGTAAGATTTCATGGTTCCATCGTCCCGGGTTATTATAGTCCCTAGTCTACTTAGTTAGAGGAGATAGTCGACCCAACCTGACAAAACGATCCTTGTCGGAAACCATGAGTTGCTTCGTACAAAGGTACCTTATAGACTTTGGGTGAATGTCTACCTAAGGGGACATATTTGAGTCCACCTTAGCTAACAAAGGACTTTGTGCCCTATATGTCATATCATATTGATTCATTACTCAAAGATTTAGAGCCGTTAGAGAACATACGGGCTCTGACCATAGCCGTAATTTAGTGGTACCATTTGGCAGTAAAACCACCAGGTCAAAGGATCTGGTCATAATTGTTTACATGTGGCGCCATTTGACAATGAAATCACCGATTAGAGGACATGTACAATGTCCTTACTGGCAAAAGACGATTTGAAAATGAATCCTAATAATATTCTCGAGTAGACATTCTCTCTTTGTAAGCTGAAGTGCTTTTCAAGCATGTCCATGATGCAATCAAAAATTTGGGAGAGGGAGGGCCCTAAATTTTTGATCACAAAAACACAAGCGTCTTTCTAGGATGATAGAAAGACATAAAATACTTAAAAGAACACAAATACTATAAAACACAACTTTATATAATAAAAACGACTTACAAACTTTTGACTCAAATGACACTTACAATTTGGACGCTTACAAACTTTGACACCAACAAAATGACACCCTAAAATTGCTTCACTTGAGAAGAAGGATACATATGGAATGGCACTTGCGGAGAGACGAAAGAGATTAGAAGCCCGAGAAGAAAGAGGAGAAGCTCGCAAGCTTTCCTAAAAGAGGAGAGGAAGAAGTGGCATAGCTCGCAAGCTATCCAAGAAAGCAGATTAGATTTTATATAAGACACTACCAAGAGATTTCGCCCTCATTTTCTGAGGACATTTTGATCTGAGTTCTGGTTTTCTATAAGCGCAAGCCCCTATAGTTAATTACCCCTCCCGATAATAGAAGAGCACTTTTGATTAAGACAGTCGTTAAGGAGATTGTATGGATAATAAATCCAGTGTATAATAGCAACAATTTTAGGGTTTGAATTTTGATTTTATGATTTGGAATTTATCACCATGAACTTAAAACTGGTGTTGGGGGGATTAAAGACGAGCTCGATCAAGATCCTATGGTTCCGTCGTCCCAGGCTATCATTTTCCTTGGTCTACTTAGTTAAAGGAGGTAATCGACCCAACTTGACAGAAGGTACCTTATCAACAGTCATGTGTTGCTTCGTCCAAGAATACCTTGTAGAACTGAGTTGATATTTGTTTAAGGAGATAGATCTAAATCTACCTTAGCTGACATAGGACTTTGTGTCTATTGAATATACCATATAATTCATCACTCAAGGGGTTGAAGCCTCTAGGGAACATATGGGCTTTGGCCGTGATTGTAATATAATGGTGCCATTTTGTGACAAAACCACCCGATCAGAGGGCACGTGCCTTGTACCTACTGACAAGAGACTGTTTGAGAATGAATCTTAGTAATACACCCGAAATGCATTTGCTCTTTGTGAGCTGAAGTTAATTTGAAATTTATCACCCCAAATAAACGGTTGCGGGATGTGACTGATTTTTTAGTTTTAAATTTTAAGGAGATGTATTTCATTTCAAGAATGTAGGTTCTCATGAGATTTAAGATTTGACCCATCCTGTTGAGATTTCCGATCAACACGACCATCATTGGAGTGAAGTTAAAGTCACATGTATTTTCATAAGAATTTGGGAGGTATTTTATGATTCAAGTCAGGTCGACTCCAGTCCTTTCAAGGAGGACGAAACTTGAGTATTCAACCCGCATAGCATTCTCGAACATTGGTGTTTGAAAATTTATCACATTTGTCGGAGCACATGCAGGATGTATTTAGTTTTGCAAAAAAAATGTTCTATTAAAGAGCATTTGACCCTGCGTAGCATTCTCAAATATTTGTGTTTGTAACTTTAACAGGTTGATCGGAGCACATGTAGGGATGTATTAGTTTAAAAAAAAAAATTATATTGGTGAGCATTTGACCCTGTACAACATTCTCAGACATTGGTGTTTGTAACTGTAATATGTTTGTCAGAGCACATGTAGGGTGGTAGCATTTGACCCTGCGCAGTATTCTCGGACATTTGTGTTTATACTTTTAACACGTTGATCGGAGCACATGCAGGGATATATTTAGTTTAAACATAGAATGTGCATTTGACCCTACGCAGCATTCTCGGACATTGGTGTTTGTACTTTTAACACGTTGACCAGAGTATATGCAGGGTGGTAGCATTTGACCATGCGCAACATTCTCAGAAATTAATATTTGTACTTTTAACACGTTGACCGGAGCACATGCAGAGGTGTAGCATTTGATTGACGATGATTGGTTGTCAGAGATTGTCGAAGTTTGTCTTTCAAAAATTTGTTTAAGTTCTGAATTTTTTAGAAAATTTCGACAACCTTCCGGCGTCCCCTCCCCGGCAGCTAGAGGTAAGGAGGGCATTTGCCCTTTGGGCTTGACTCGATCGGAGCGAATCAACGGCGAGGAGATTGGGAGAGCGAATCGATCCCATTAAAGAGTCTTCAAGTCTTATGATGTGTGCAGCCTGCTGATTTAAGCAATCTAACTTAATTTTGATTAATTTAAAAATATATTTATTCCCCTAAAAAATCAGGCAGGCTTCCGGCGTCTCCTACCCGGCGCTGGGAGGTAAGGAGGGTATTTTGCCCTTTTAGCTCGACTCGGACGGATCGAATCAACAGTGAGGAGATTGAGAGAGCAATCGAGTCCATTAGCGTCAGTGCTCCCTCAGCCAGATCAGCTCGACGGTTAAGGGCTTCGGTGGACCGGATCAACCCCGGGACTTCCTTCAAATCTGCTTGTTGTGGTGCCTCTTATTTTTTATTTAATTTAATTTTTTTAAAAAAATATTTTCCCAAAAAATACGTCAGCCATTCAGCTTCCCCTCCCGGCGCCAGGACGTAAGGAGGGCACTTGCCCTTTGGACTTGACTCGGACGAAGCGAATCAAGGACGAGGATATTGGTTTTCAAATCTTCAATACCTCGGTCGGATAAGCTTGACGACCGAGGGCTTAGGGAGACCGAATCAACCTCGAGACTTCCTTCAAATTGCTCCCACTTATTTAAAAATCATTTCTCTCTCTCTCTCTCTCTCTTATTTTATTTATATATATATACACGACGGCGGGAGCCGGCAGGCAGGGTTGGTGTCGCGTGAGTTCGGAGGCAGCAAACAGAGGCTTGGAGGCTAGCGAGGTTAGGAGTTTTGGAGGGCGGCGCGTTTGGCTTGGTTGCAAGCTTGGATCGAAGGGTGGAGTCAGCTCGGTTTGGTGTTGGGATCGACGGGATTGGAGGTGGAGTTTGCAGCCGGAGTAGGAGATGGAGGCAGTAGGTGGTTGAGTCAGCTCGGCTTGCTCGATGGAGGCTAGAGGGTCTTCGACTAAAGCCGAGATTGAGATTGAGAGAGATGTCTTCTGGAGGTGGCAAGTCCCGAAGTCCCCTTTTTTTGTCCGGTTTCTGTCAGTGTGTGTCTGAATGGGGAGAGGGCTTTCGATTTTGTGTTGCGAGTGGGAGACGGTTTGAGCGATCGTGGGTAGAGGTCGGCAGTTATGCGGTTTGATCGTGGCTTACAGGTCTTCGGTCAACATGTTTAATAATTAATTTCAATTTTAAATATATTAATATCATTGATAAATGTAGAGTTTTGAATCTTTGATAGGTCTTTGAGAGTTAACCCCTACGGTTGAGATTTGCATTGAACACGACCATCTTCAGGGTGACTTTTATTATCACTTTAAATGTTTATATTTTATGAGTATGGAAGACATTTTAAAAGTTTGGGGTCCCCTCCGATTGAGATTTTCTGTCAATACAGCCATTATCGAGGTTTATAGGTAATTTCACTTCATTAGTAGAGCCTTGTCGACTCTGTCTACTTGCCGACAGATGATCGGTCAGCATAGATATTACGTTTTTGGTGATGAATCTTTCTTATAATAGGCCTTGATGGCCTGATATGAACATATAAAACAAATACTTTGGTCGGCACTACGACTGTGTATTGTTCGACGATTCAATCTGTGTCGACTCTATCTATTTGTCGACAGAGAATCAGGTCCGTCGTCAGCTTCATGCTTTTGTTAATGAATCTTTCTTATAATAGACCTTTTTTATAATAGACATTGATGGTCTAAGATGAATGTATAAAACAAATACTCCAACCAGTGCTACAACTGTATATTTATTCGATGATTCAAGAAGTGTCAACTCTGACTATTTGCCAATAGAACATTAGGATTAAACTTAAGTTCACTTCTTAACCCACCCCTCAAACGTCATGTGTGCATAGATCAAGCTCGTCGTGGTATAAATGAGCGAACATTGGCAAAACAATGAGTGTGCGGTGTAAATGACTACTTAAAGCATAAATAATGTACTTCACCTTCTTGAAGAATCATGAGATAAAATTATTTCCAATATCAAAGCTCTCACAATGTATAAGAAGATAATGCACAAGAAATTTAAAAAAAAAAAATTTGAAGCACAAAAATTATAAAAAAAAAAAATTGATGCACAAAATGGATAAAATAATTAGCTTTCCACATAAAATATTTAGGATTGTTCATTGAATTCAACCATTTGAGAAGGCACTCTATGCTGCACAATCACTACTAAATGTTAAAAGCAAAAAAACTTAAACTGCAACAAATGAAACAAAAATATTGATAGTACCCTAGAAATGGTTTCAGCAGATGGAGAACCAAGCAGATCAGTCATCAGATCCAATTGATGGACCACATTTTTCCCAGGAAATAGCGGTTTTCCTATCAGCATTTCAGCAAATATGCATCCAATACTCCAAATATCAATTGCTGGCGTATACTGCAGAACGCATACGGAAACAATCAAGAACTTTGAGTTATATCATACAACTATTAAAGTTTTAGAGGACCAGTGGCTGAATAATAAAACATTATTTCTATGATCAAAATGAGGATGGTACATCAGATAAGAGAATCTCAAAACTAGTTCAATTGGTTCTACAAAAAGCAAAGTTGAGTAAATTAAAACTAAAAATGCAAGTTATCTCATACTCCCATGCATCATAAATCAGTACATGTGAGATGAGGGTGCGGGATAAATTTATTCTTCATAAAATGAATTCAAAAACTAGCCATCCAAATTCTATGTATTAAATCAAATTCAGATATATCTATCGTAGCAAGTTATCCTGGAATTCAAACATGAAGAAATGGTCCTAAATTAAGAAATCATTTCTCCCACTTTATGAATCATTATGTTTTTTTCACAACACAATAGCAGGATGTGTAAGAAGACACCCTACAAAAAAACCAATAAAAAATGACAACATCTAGGACCTATTTTGATGCCCGCAAGAAATGCAATATATGAGAGAAATGAATTAAACACCCTCTAGCTTGTACACAGTTAAAACACTCCACTGATAACTTTTCTCACCAAAAGTTCAGATTGAACAAAGTGTTTTGATAGAGCAAAAGAAGCAATATAATTCATGATTTCGGATACAAGCCATGAGTAACTGAGATTCCTACTTTGGAGAAGAATGAGCCGCATAATTCAGGAGCCCGGTACCATCTGGTTGCCACATAATCCTTGATCAAGAAAAAAAAAAGAAACATAAACAAAGTAACCAAGTGAAGAAACTGACAACTATCTTGTAGTTTATGAGTAGATTTGAATCTCTCCTCTTAAGAATAGAAGGTGCAATGCCTTCCATGCTGGCAACTACTCATATAGTTAATTCACCAAACAAGACACATAAATGAGTACTAGAAACAGAAATACAACTAGACCAACAGCCACAGCAAGAGCAAAAGGACAACAGCAATTGACATCCAAATGAGTTAACATACAGTCCAAAAGATAGCTGAAGGAGTATCATTGAATGATGCACGAGCAAGGCCAAAGTCACAAATTTTCAGTTTGCAGTCAGCATTAGCAAGTATATTTTTAGGCTTCAAGTCCCGATGAAATACATTAGCTGTAAAAAAACACATTTAAATAACAAGCCAACCATTCATATAAGAGAAATGGAAATATATATATCAGTAGCTAGAGCACAAAAGGGCTTAGTATTTTCAAACCTGCATGTATATACTTCAATGCTCGAAGAAGCTGGTATAAGAAAAACTGGTAATGTTGCGGAGTAAGATCATCATTTGCTTTTATCACTTGATGAAGGTCTGATTCCATCAACTCAAAGACAACATATATATCTTGAAATTCCCTTCGCGATGGAGGAAGCATTATATGCTTTATTTCAACAATATCTGGATGCTTAAGCAATCTCAACAGCTTGATCTCTCTTAGAATCCGTGTAGCATCCGAGACATGATCAAAGACATCATGAATCTTTTTAATCGCCACTCTCTTTCCCGTGTGAGTGTCAATCGCAGCACCAACTACCCCATAGCTTCCCTTCCCAATGACCTCTTGAATTTGATACTTGCTAGCCTCGCCATATTCAGTGAAGAATTCAGAGTCAAGAATGTTCTGGATTATCTCAGAAGAGCAAAACACAGATATTAGTACCCTTACTATTATATAATAAATATGAGCAAGCAATATAATCAAATAAGGGGAAAATCCCTCAGTGTTCCCATTACAAGATAGTTGTCGACTAGCTTAGGGGTTGTTTGGTAGGACTGGATCAGGATTTAACCTAAATCATGCCAAATGGTCAAAATGAAGGTCTTAAATCCTAAGAAATGTTGAAGCCCATTTTTATTCCATTTTGCCAAAAATCTCAGACTTACTAAATCTGGTAGTTCAGCTGGTTTAACGGGATTTACGCAAAACTCAAAATGAACTCCCACATTCTCTTCTCGCACAGCTCCTACTAGAGCCGATAGCCTTATCTGTACATGCAATGCATCTTCTTCTTCGATCGCATAATCTGGTTTGTGACGCCACTTGTTCAACAGCCATCATCGTAACTTGGTTGATTTTGTTTTGCTCCTGTAAGTAGCAATCATCCTTCCAAGTAGAGTTTCTGCCTTTCGCTTTGCTTTATCATCGGTCATACCTTTTGTGTTGCCAATCTATTCATGTCACTCTACCTTAATCCACTGACCGTAAGATAGGATAGATGCATCAATTTCATGATTTCATTATGTCGAAAAGATGCAGCTTCTATTGAGTTCATTTGTAGATATGATGTGTTGTCTGGTATCATCAATTGAAGCGAATGGCTTAACCTATTATTTTCCTCTTATTTTCCAAGTATGAGTTGGTTTATAGATCGAATGAACAAATGCATCAATTTTTTTTCAAATTATTTAGTCATTTATTAATTTGTAGCCTAGTTAATAATGCTCATAATTATAAATGTACAGAAAATGTTGTATGCATTACCAAAAATTGCCACTTTTGTTTGTTTGTTTTTTTTTTTTTTTGCTGAAAGTTCTGAAGACTATATATTTGTAGTGAAAATAATATGTCTTAGATCAATTATGATCTATTTAGATTTACATTTGTTTTGAGATGTTTTTAATTCACATTTCATGTTTGCTACTTCACAGTAACAATGTTTATTTATGACCAAGTAGGGTTGAACTGAGTTATTGTAATTTTACTTTGTTTGTTTCTATCTTAACATATTCATAACTTAGTTCATATATTTTGCTATCAAAGTCATCATCAAAAACCAATTTTATTTTGCCCAAAAAGGCTTATGTAAATCAACCTTATGTACTATTCAGCAAGTAATCATCATCGATAAATTTATGCTATTTTTCGGAAAAGATTTAAAGAACAATTTAATTTTCAAATTAGGAAAGTTGAACATGAACAACTCAAATGATGTTGCAAGCACTAACAATTCAGCTGCATGTTGGAAATTCAGTAGCATTGTCAACCATAAGCAAACAACAAATGGAAGGAGAAAATAAAATAAAGCCAATCATTCCTCAAGGATATCAAAACAATCATAGATAAATTATTGTCATGGCAATGCATTTGACAATTACTCTTCTTCAGTGATAAGAAGTCATCAAATATCAACTATTTACTTAGTAACCGAACTGACTATCTTACTAGGAAAATTGGAATAGCAATGGTATAATTCAATTGTGCTATTATTTATTATTTGTGATTTGTATTTAATTCCAACTCTACCTTTATTTGTAAATTTTGATTTTTATTCGGTTCCAATTTGCATTTCTCAATTGAGTAATTGAGAAGTATATAAAAATTTTATTGCAATTGCTGCACATGTATCTTTCTGTTTAATAATAAAATTTTGTTTGTCGTGTTCACTAAATTTTTTTGGTTTAAATTACTAATTCATGCATTGCTATTTATCTAAAGGTCTGCCTTCTTGATGAATTTTGTAACATGGTTGATGCACATCAAAAGCTTAATGACACCATAAGATAACTGATTTTATCGATTATGAAGGATAGTAGTTCCTCATACGAAGAGATATATATGCAAAGGCTTATGTTCAATAGGTTGTATACAAGCCCGTAGCATATGTACTTTTTGATAATTCATTGGGATCATACGACTAATTCAGGCTTCCATCAGGGGCATTCTTACAACTGAAGGAATCATTGATAATTCCAGGCTAGTTCAGCAACACAAGGCGTATGGTAGTAGATGAACAACTAGGGATTTTTTTAGAGGAGTTGTAAATATGTATAGTTATAAAGAATTGTGCAACATTTTCTAGCACTCGCCAAAAACAATGTTGATTTTTATATTTAGTACTTCAAGCAATTGTTTCATTGGTGGAGTAATAAGTTGCCCCCAACTGAAGCTAAGTATAATCCTTTCATATAATCAACCAAGAAACTTCATCCTGACTTTCAAAATGCAATTAGAGCAATAGATGGCACCCAAATCCTTGTAGTCATTAACAAATGATTGCAGAATAGATATCACAACATAAAGAGATTTACTTCTCAAAATGTTATGGCAACATACACAATTGATGAACAATTTGTATGTCACATCTGGATGGGATTATGTCGCAACTAATATGAGATTGCTATGATGGGGGGTGGAGGCGCTAGAGTTTAGAGTACTACAAGGTAAATATATTACTTAGTTGACTCCAACTACACTATCAACAATAAGCTCAAAACACCCTTCAATGGCTTTCGATATCATTTGAGTGACTTAAGTAGAGAAATATCTCATAAGCACTCAGTCAAGCAAGAGTTGTACAATCATCATCATACACAATTACACAACATAATGAGAAGAAATTTTGGCACTTTGAAAGAGAAATTTCAAGTGGTAACTAACATGCAATAATTTCTTATGATGATTCAGGCAGAAATTTTACTTGCTTGTGCAGGGTTGCATAAATTTATTGGTCTTTATCACAAACACAATATGTATTTTAATGTCTCAAACTAATGCAACAGTTAAGAAGAGAATTCAAGGGAATGCAATGAGGCATGGAATAACCACAGACTTGTGGGAAGCAAGTGTAAGATTTCAATTTCAGTAAGTAAAAGCAAGTGCAATATTTCAATTTCAATAAGCATTGACGGTGAGTTACTAATGCATTATTCTACTCGCAATCAATGAGTCAAAAACGTCAATCAATTTGAGTTACAAGCTAAATTTATTTTGTCAAGAAAGAAATATTGATATTTAATTGTATTTTAATCTTATTTGTTTTGATGTCGTTGTGCAGCTTGATTATGATTTGGTTATTAGTCGTGTTTATAAGAATTATTCTCATTTTATTAGAATATCTTATGTTTTAATCCTATTTGACTTAATCGCCTTAAATCCAAAAATATATAGTCAAATAGTTTGTTAAGATTTATGCGGGATTTAAAATTGTCATGCCAAACAAATCTATGGATTTAGCACCCTTATGATTTAGTAATTCCAAATTTAAAGAATTTACTAAATCCTACTTTCTGCCAAACAGCCCCTTAGCTTGAAAAATTCTTCCACTGAACCACTGCTGGCTTTTTCAAGAAATCCAGTGTACGAGAACAAAACATTCAGCTAGCCTTTTGCCATGATAGAGAAAGAGACAAAAGATTTAATGTTGAGACATCATCAGACAGCAGAGTGACCAAAATGGTAGAACCAACAGTGACGTGGGCGACGAATGGACAGTGAGCAAGTCACAGTAAAACAAGAGAGAGAGAGAGAGAGAGAGAGACCTTTTTATTGAAATCGATGACGGTCAATTTGCGCTTTGGGACGCGGATCAATCGGAGGCCAGAGCGATCCAAGTCATCGGAGTCGTTGAAGGAACAGTCCAGGTTCGATTCCTCCGGTGTCGTCTCCAATGGCGAGATAAGGTCGTCAATTGGAGCGGCAGAAGAGGAGGAAGCGGAGCTGCGAGTCGAGCGGCGTTGAAACCAACGGCGAAAGCCATCGACGAGATTACCGGAGCCCATACAAAGAAAGCGATTACGGCTGCTGAGCTTCGACGGTCAAGGGGCATTGCCGTGTTGCGTCTAAATTAACACTCTGGTTTGAACTCTCGGGAAGAAAAATAATGTACTTTGAACTCTAAGTGATGCAGATTGTTTGACAAAGTTCAAAGAAAATAAATGTTCAATTATTATTCATAAATAACTTATTGATATTCTGATTCTTTTGGATTCAATAGTTTGTTTCCCTAATTGAAAAAAGTAAGATTTTCTTCTGATTTTTTTTTCCATATCTTGGACTGTGAATGTAATAGTAATATTTTTATATAGAGAAATAGGGTTTCGATGTTGCTCAAATTTATATCATGGAAAGTTTATAATTCTTGAATTGATTTGAGATGAACATAAAAGATGTGGTGTCCTGGAACATACGTGGCGATGGAGAGATATAGAGTTCAATGTCTAAGCTTTGTACGAAGATCCGATACAGACAAATAAGAGAGGAAGGTACATGAGTCATAAGAGAAACCAAAATTTTTATGTGAAAATTTCTGAAAAGAGGAAACAGCTTGGTGTTTGATCCAATTAAAATGATTCTACTAGTGTTTATTATTGATTACAAATGAGGCCCTTCTTTGTGGGGGGATGTATTGGCTTGATGTAGCAAATATACATCATATAGAGCAAATTACATTATAAGAGTTGAAAGAATATAGTGATATTAGAGTTATTCCCAAGAAAGTGTTGGTCTGTTTATTTGGTCGGTGGGATTGTAGTTCGACAACAGTGATCGGAAGAATCGTAGTCGACGGGTGATGAAGGTCGGAGGGATCATAGTCGGTTGGTGATTGTGATTGGAGGGACCGTAGTCAGCGGGTGACAGAGGTCGAAAGGGTTATAGTCGACGGGCTACAAAGGTCAGAGGGACACTAGTCGGTGGGTGTCGACTGGATTGTAGTGACGCAATGATGGTTTGAGTGACTGTAGTAGTGACATGCCCTTAAATTATGGAAAAGATTTATAACTAATTTTGAGTGCTCTATCGAATAACCCATATTGATACCCTTGATCATAGAGCGTTCATCAAGCATTTCGGTGTCCTAATGTCATAATTAAGTGATCTTGGGCTTGTTAGATTCACCTCTTTGGACCGCTTGATTCAACTATAAGCATGTCATATTTAGAGATCACTTAATCATCCAATTTATGATTTGAACTTTTCAAGTATCCTTCAACCCTTGGATTCAGACCCATTTGGGTTCAGATTAGACCAGTTTTGGTGTCATTGGGTTCATCTTTTCGAGATATTCAGTTTGACTATAAGCTTGCTGAAATTGGAGTTTGGATGTCCCCAAATTTAATTTTAGAAGTTTTCAATTCATATATGCATTAAGATTTGTGCCGAATGAAGTTAATTTTTGTGGACGTATCAAGATGGACAATCAAATAATTTTTGTATTAAATTCATATATAAAGTTTAATAACTCTTATTTTTAGTCAATATCACATCACCTAAATTTTCATATGTTTTTGCCTCTCATGAAATTAATATATTTTTAGCGCTTAAATTTATATGATATATACATATTTCAAAAGTTCATACGGTCAATATGTTCACTTGAAAATTAAACAATTTTCAAATTTAAGTTTAATGTTTTTTAAAAAGTTATTCCAAATTCAAAATATATTTTTCATTGCATACTAGAATATTCACGACAGTAGAGAGATAAGGAGTTTAATTTCTAAGCTTTATACAAAAATTCAACATACATGTAGATAAGAAAAGAGTTGCAAAAGACAGTTGAATTTTTATATGGAAAACCTATAAAAGAGAAAATTCATGTGGTTTGGCCTAGTTGAAATGATTCAATTAGTTTTTGTTTTTGGTTACAGATGAAGTCATTTCTCATGATTGGAAAGGTATTGACTTAATATAATAATATACTAAACATAAATTGTATATAATGAATTATGTGATGGAAGTTAGAAGAGTCGTGTCATGAGAGCTGTCTTCAAAAGTTATTTACTTTTTGTTTGCTCATTTTCCTATGAAAAGAAAAGTTAAGCATAAATATTTGTGTTGATGTCATGAGTCCAAATTCGGTAGACAAAGGATCATAATCAAGCGATGGTTGCAAGAGGGACCGTAGTCTGGCGATGAACGTTGATGAATTATAGCAGCATAATTGTGGTCAGATGATCGTAGTCGGGTGATGGTAATTGGAGGGTTATAGTACTTGAGCGATGTTGGCCTGATTTCTAATGACGTATTAGTTGTTTTCCTATTTTCAAATATTGAAGTTTATGTCGTTCGAAAATATATGTTTAAGTATTATAAGAATTTTGCATCGTTGCATTATAATTTTAAAAAGAAATACTAAGGAAGGTTGCTTCTTGAACATTAGCATGGGCCTTCGCTCAGCAGCATTATGAACTAGTTAAAATCTTCTTAATTATAATTTTAATCTTTCATGAAATTAGTGAGTCGATCATAGTAAGATTATTAGGAAATTTTGCCCCAAAGTATTGCTCAAAATTGATAGTAGAGACTTTGTAGAGCTTCCAAATTAAGTATCAAATTTGACTACATCATGTGGAGCCATAAATATCCTCATTGGTGTAATAGCCCGCATTTTAATCAAATAAAAATTTTCATAAGTCAATATAAGTTTAAATCATAAACTGTCTTCGATATAGTATAGATATTATAGTGATTTAATCACATTATTTTTTTGTTATTCTTGAACATTAGTGCAAATCCTTAAAAATTGACACTTTTCGGTATAAGTAGAGGTTTTGACATTGTTAGATGTCCATTTTACAAATTGATTTCATCAAATTTTATTAATTAAATTAGGCTATTTTATAAAGATTTTTTTTATAATTTTTAAATCTTTAGAATAATTTATATAAATTTTATATAAAAATGATTAAATTATAAAATTATATTAATATTACATTATTATTTTATATTACAAATATCATAAAACATTAAATAACTTTCCTTAATCCATTTTGATTTATTATTTCGGCTAAGAAAGAAAATATAGGAAATTGGAAAGAAAAACTTAGATTTGAAGCTCGTAGAGTGGAAAATTTGTTTGTCTTATTTTAAGGAACTATTATTTTATTCATAATTTCGATAATTTGATGTTTTCAAGTTTTTTTTTATCAAATTTATATTTTCGTTATAAAAAATATGAATAATTTTGTTTTGGTAAAACTTTCACACGTGATTTTTTATATATTATAGAAATTGAGATTATGAACATTAAAGCTTTATTTTGATATCTAAAAATAATGTTTTAGTTCAATTAAAGCTTTAGAATATTATTATATATGATTTCTGGTCATTTGATTAATTTCTGAAAATATGAATTTTTTTAGAATAATACAATGATTGAGAGTTATAAGAGTTTATTATTGTATAGATTGACAAAGAGTGATGACTTTATTTAATGAGCTAACGGTTACCAACTACCGATTACTAATTATAAAAAAATATTGTGATAGTTAGAACTACTTGCTTGTTTAGTGTGACTACTAAAATGCATGTTATAAATTCATTATTATTTTATGGCTTTACTGATACTGTACTGATTTATCGTCATTATATGGATTTATTATTCCTACACAGATTTACTATTTCTGAATTATTTTATTGTTCCTACCATTTATTTTATCGTTACTTATATGGATATCTATCCTATTTGATAGTACTACTGATTCATTGTACTAATATTAAGCATGACAAACTAAGCATGTGATATACTAAGTGTGATGAAGATATGATTTGATATTTATATAGAATAATTAGATAGCATGTGTACATAGTTATAGGATTTTATTGTACTAATCTCAATTCGACAATTTTTTATAGATGCTTTAGTTTTACCAATTCATACGATTGATTTACTGATTGATAGTACTTATACGATGACTATTTATTGACATTCATACTAGTTTACTGATTCTCTCACTGTAGTATTTTATTAGCTTTCATATCGTACTATTTTACTATTTATAAATTCTACTACTATTGCATGTGAGATCATATGATTGTTACTACTATGAATTGATTGACAATATGCGTATTACTTTTTTACCATTCTTTGAATTCAATTATACCATTTTAGTTATATGCTGTATTATTTAGCTCATTATATATGGTTTAAATGATTTCAAGTCGGGAAAATTGTTCATGTGAGTGAGGCCGATCAGGATTCCTTGGGTTCTATTCCTTTTTATTTTAGTTATTCTTTTTATACTCAAGAATGAAAGGATGTGTTGTGATTGTATAATTCATGAGTATTATATATAATGATTTTGAGAGAAATTATATATATGTTATGTTTTTTTTAATTCTAAAATTTATTTCTATTATTTATTACTAATGGATGAAGTTAGATGACTCTCGTGTTGTTATTAAAAGATAAAAGAAATTAAGAATTCTTCCAAATTAGATTATTTGGTGTGACACTTTGCGACAGGGGAGATGCACATTCCTCTTATGTAGGACCCAGTTTTTTCCTGTAAATGATAGAAAAAAAAACTATTAAACAAAATTTAAAAGTACACATTTTATATATCTTGGATCTATTGTTCAGAGTGATGGCGAAATAGATGGAGATATTATCAGCAGAATTTAAGTTGGATGGTTGAAGTGAAGGAATGCATTGGGCTTATTGTGCGATAGAAAAATCCCCCTCAAACTTAAGGGAAAATTCTATAAGATGGTAGTAAGACCTGCAATGCTTTATTGTGCCAAATGTAGGCCATTTAAAGATAAGCATAATACTAAGTTAAGTGTTGCAGAAATGAGGATGCTTATGTGGATGAGTGACTTTAACCTTAGTGATAGGATACGAAATGAGCATATACATGAAAAGGTTGAAGTAGCTGCAATGGAAGATAATATTAGAGAGAGTCATCTTAGATGGTTTGGTCACATTAAACGGAGGCCTTTCGATGACCCGATTAGAAATGTTGATGTATTAGATTTGATTTATGTTAAAGGTAGAGGTAGACCTAAAAAGACTTGGTTAGAAAATATTAGAAATAATCTTTCTTTTCAAATTGATGCAACAAAAAAAAAAATAAATGATCTTTTTTATTAGATTTAAATGACAATTTGACTTTTAACATGACACAATGACAAAAAAGGTTCATGTAGCTGACCTGACGTAGTGAGACAAATGCTTGATGTTGTTGTAGTATTTCGAATATAAAATTTGTAATTACATGTTAATCATTTAATATTTTTTTATTTTAAAAAATGTTTTTTATACTCACATAATTCTTCAAATAATTTTTAAAATGAATTATATCTTGTCCTATTATTATCTCATTCGCTGTCTCTGCTGATATCCATTATAAAAAAGAAAAATTTTTTTTTTTTATTAATTTTATGACTGCTTAAAAAAATTTAATCCGTTTTTATACTCCTTCCTACATTTGGATGCGGCGGAGCATCTGATCCGACTACTGCTCGTCTGCTTGTCTTTCATGGGTGACCATATCGACAGCAATGGACTTTAAATACTGACCCACAAATTTTCTCCCTTTGTTTTATCCCTTCGATTAGGTCATTCAAGAGGAGCTCACGCCTTCCAACCCCGCCATTAAAAAACTAACAAAACACCAACAGAATGCGAACTAATTATCTTTTGCTGGAGTAGGGGTTGGAGGAGCAGGAACCTTGGATGGAGAGCCAAAGGGTCGTGGTGGTGGTGGAGGAGGCTGACGCAGCCCGCATCGCTCTAGAATGGGCGGTCCGCAACTTTCTCAGGTCGGCCGATTCGTTGACCTTACTTCATGTCTACCCCGCCACCAAATCGAGGGTGAAGCAGCGCCGGCTCCGTCTCAGGGGCTTCCAACTCGCCCTATCCTTTAAAGATCTCTGCAATGGAATCGCCGAGGTTTGCTTCTCAATGTGTTGATTCTTCCTTTTTTATTTTTTTTGATAATCAGCACTTGATTTTTCAAATATGCCATCAAAGACGCAAGAAAATCTATGCATTGATGATATCTTGTCTTTAATTCGTGCATTCGTTATTCATCTCAGTTTTTTTTTTTTCTGGATTTTATTCTTTGATTTGATCATGATCCAACATTTTCTGGATTGAAATCCATGGAATGTATTTTAGCTGACTAGGAGATGTGTAGTTCTTGGCTACTATTTCTCTTACTCGATCTCAGGGGTGATTTATCACAGGCGAAGGTGGAGATCATTGTGATGGAAGGAGACAAGGGGGCTGCTGTGGTTTCGTTTGTGAGCAAGATCGGCGCGTCGACCCTTATAGTTGGGCTCCATGATCAAAGCTTTCTTTACAAGTAAGGATTAAAATTTTTTGTTCTTCCTTGTTATGGAATTTCTTTTGTTATTTTTTTCAGGGCTGTTTGTTGTCCAGAATTTAAGCAAGTTTTAGCTTAAATTTTGATCTTTAGACCCTATCAAATAAAATTCGAGGCTTTAAATTTCAGTATTTTAATAAATTCATTTTCATTTTGGCTATTGATCAAATTCATGATTTGTCAAAATCCCATCAATTTAACTGATTGAATTTTAGAATATCCACCTTAGAAATTTTAAAATTTCCAATTAAGTAATTTATCAGATTTTATTAAAGTTTAATAATTTCCATATTAATTCTCTAAAAAATTATTAAATCTTAAATTAGATACTTTTAATGAAACTTTTCTTGTAGCCAAACAGCCCTTTAAAGCTTCAAAAGCAGAATTGGGTTTCTTGTAGCAGTTGACCACTCCCTGTTTTCTGTTAGTTTTATTTCTTCTTTGATACAGAAAGAGGCTGTAGAGTTAGTTTAAAGCAGAATAGTTTCTCGCAGGAGGAATTATTCTGTGCAATCAAGACAACCGTCTAGTTTATTGAGTATACTCACTTAGGCTTCTGTTTGGAATGACTTTTTTGCTGATTTTCAAATCAGCTTTTCAGTATAAAAATTAAAATATTTGTACCAGAAAGTTGCTTTAAGAAACAATAAAAAATCCGTCCCAAACAAAGTCTTAGTAAATTTTTTGCTGAGTGTTTTTACAGAGTATTTGTATAATATTTACTGAGTATACTCATTAAACTGTCCAGTCCAGACTCCACACGTAATAATCACTCGTAGAATTATATGGAGTTAAATTACTATGAACTTCTCGAACAAATCACCCTCTTCTTTTTCAGAAGAAGTATTCCAAACCTCGGCACGAGAATTCTCAACTGTAGAATCCTTGCTATTAAGCAGCACTCGTCAACACACTATGGATTAGTAAATACTGAATTCTCTCAAATTGAAATCACTGGGCTTAGGTAAGTTTTCACTTTTTAAATTCAAGCTATTTTTCTTCTTGACTGATTGAAAGAAGTGGCAATCAGCAGGATGCCACAGGCGAAAAAATGTTTTTTAATCTTCCTTTCTCCTCTGGGAAGGATATTGAAGAGATCTAGAAGGAATTAAAGGATAAAAAGGGAGGTTTTGATTGTTTCTTACAGTGAAAAGGAATGGAATCTGAATAAAAGTAAACAGAAATGCTACAGTTAGGAACAAAATGATATTTGTCCATTCCATTATAGATGTTTCATTTACTCATATTTGTACATGATATAATAATTTTAAATGATTTATCTTATGTTCCATTGCTGTTTAGGGTTTCCAACCTATAGTTGTTTCTTGAAAGGAAAGGAAACCCATAATTTTAACCTTTGCATTTTATTCAAATTGCTTTACTGATTGTTTATATTGTGAAGTTGGGATGCAACCCAGAGTGCTAAATTACAGTTGTAATTTCTTTTGGTAGGGTGTGAATGAGATAAGCTTTTCATTCCATCCTATTGGACTTTATTTGCTATCCTTGTCATTTTGTTTTAAGGTTTGTTTGGGATAGGTATAATTTTTTATAAAAGTGATTATAAAATTGTTGTTTAGAAAGTACTTTTTTTTTTAAATTATTGTAAAAAGTTATTTGTTAGCATTTTTTTTTTTTGAAGTAGCGAAAAATAATGACCATACAAAAATTATGATTGTGATCTGAAAAGCAAAACAAATTTCTTATTGGACGACTTTCTTATTGCTTTGCAGAATTCTTATAGAGAAAGTAACATTTAAAGCTATTATAAAAAATAATTTCTTGCTACAAGATTTTTTTAAAAGCAACGAAAAATAATGGCTAAATAGATATTGTATTTATTTTTTGAAAAACAAAGCAGTAAGAAAGCTATCCCAAATGAAACCTTAGGTTTAGTTTGGGACGGCTTTATACAGCTTCTTAAAGCAGTTTTTTAGTTAAAATTTTTTAAATTTTTTATACTAGAAATGTGCTTTAAGAAATAGTAAGAAAGCTATCACAAACGAAGCCTTAGGGTTTGTTTAGGACAACTTTCTTAATGCTGTTTAAAACAGTGTTTTGGTTAAAAAAATTTTTGAATTAAAATTTTTTGTACTAAAAAATTATTTTAGAAAATAATGAAAAAATCATCCTAAACAAAACCTTAGTCTCCTATTTGTTTTAATTGTTTTGTTTTGCTTTTCATTTTTACGATGGAATTAGAAATATGATTGATAAAGTATTAGAAAACAAAAGCAGTATTATTTATTTTATTTAGTTACAAACATAAACATATATTTATAAATGATAGAATACAGCAGAGAATATTTTCTATATTATTAGTTAAATTTAAATTTACTTTTAATCATATTTTTAGCATATTTACAAAATAAGCACAAACAGTCCAAAGTAATAATAATACATCTGTTGGATTAAAAAAATTTTATTGATCAAATGTTCTTCAAATCCCATTTATCTCTGATCTTTTTTTTTTTTTTTTTTTTTTTTTTTTTTTTTTTTTTTTTGGGAAATTTCAAAAAATTTTATTGGGGAAATCTCTGATCTTCACTAGACCCTGTAGCCACCCTCATGATCGTGCAAATGCCCTTCAAATCCCACAAACGGATAAGAGTTTAATCATGACCATTAAATCAAAATCTAATGGCTTGAGACTCCATTATTTCAAGTAATGCTTATGAATTGTAGGACCTGTAGGGACACATGACTCAATTTAAGCTTGACACCTCACCCGGCCAATTATTAGATGTCATTCAAGGATTTGATTGTCAGACTTTTTTTTTTTTTATGAGAAAGCACTGTCCTTAGGCTAGTGAAAACCCCGGTCGACCTAGCATGCAATCCACACTAATTTACACGAGCCAACACTTAAGGCTTTCACTGCTTGCCAAGGGATTCGAACCAGGGACATAGGCTTTGCCCAGCCGGCTCTTCACCACCCGGACAAGCAATGGTGGGTTTGCCAGACTACTCATTCAAGGAAAATGACACATTCTTGAACCACATAAATGCTGCCACTTGTCACAGGATACATGCATACAAACCAAAGATTTACTGCATTCAAAATTACTCAAATTTAATTTTTTAAAACTACTCAATTGTCTTGCCCAAATTCTAAATATTGTAAATAGTATCTGTTTAATTGTAATGTTGATATATTAAAATTTTATTTGGAACTGTTTTTTTATTATTTCTTAAAGCAACTTTTTAATTTAAAATTTTAAATTTTATACTAAAAAGTTCTTTTAAGAAGCAGTGAGAAAGCCGACTTCACTTGAGACAGCTTTCTCACTACTTCTTAAAGCAATTTTTTTATATAAAAATTTTAATTTTTGTACTAAAAAGCTCCTTTATGAAGGCTTCATTTTGGACGGCTTTCTTACTACTGTTTAAAACAAATTTTTATTAAAAAATATTATTTGTAATAAAAAATTGTTTCAAAAAATAGTAAAAAAGTCATCCCAAATGAAATCTAAAATGACGATAGAGGCCTTTATCTTATAAGAAGACATTTGATCCCAATCCCAAAAGAGTTGGTGAAGGCTGTAAATGCCAATTATAGTTTATGACTAGCATAATATATCCTATTGCACACACAATATACACAAAATTGCATGTAGGCCCCAAATTTAGTCAACCTAATTTATAATCAATTAGACTTCCTTAAAGCTTAAGGTTGTAAGTCCTATTCCTATTGTTGGATCTAGCTAAATCTATAAAAGTCTTGCACATGTAAAACATGCCAATCCTTGACTTATTTATCAGCAAATGTGTCATTCCCAATCTCCAAGATTTTTTTTTTTAAATTTCTTTACTGGTTAAATTTCAAAATAATCCCTTGAATATTCGTATATGATCATTTTAATTTCAGAGTATAACATTGCTCTAATTTAATCCCTCAACAACAACAATAACAACATCAAGCCTTTGTCCTACTATGTGGGGTCGGCTACATGAATCCTTTTTCTCCATTGTGTCATATTAAAAGTCAAATTCTTAGTTAAATCGAATAAAGAAAGATCATTTCTAATATTTTCTAACCAAGACTTTTAAGTCTACCTCTTAACATAAGTCAAATCTAATACCTCTACTTTCCTAACCGGGTCATCAAAAGACCGCCGTTTTATGTGACCAAACCATCTAAGGCGACTCTCTCTAATTTAATTTCTCGAATATATAAAATTGATCTAATATGATCCATTTCGAACTAATTGGGATCAATTCTATATTAGAATTATAACATGAGGGATCATTTTGATTTAATTTTATAAAGTCACGAGACTGTATTGAAATAATGTGATACTTTGACTAAATTGGTCGTAAATAAATAATCACACATATTGTCTATCAAACCTTCTATATCAAATGTAAATATATAAGCCCAAATTTTCTTCAAACACTAATATATATTTTTACCAAATACATAAATCTTGAAATTCTCAGGCCTTTTGTATCAAACACATGTAGGCCTTGGTTTTATCTAAAACCCTGGCCATAGGAAAGCTGACACATGAGTGTAGCAGCAAACAAAGCATATTTATTGCAAGCATGCCATTGTGACCATCGATTTGCTTATTTCAATAACAAAGATTAAAGTGAACCTGGGTTTCCAGATGCCAGAAGTTCTTGATCTAGGAGCTCTAGTTTAGCCACGCCAACGACCACCACTGCCACGGCGGAAGTGCCGGCCACCTCCCCTGTTCGATCTAGTCCGAAAATCATCAAAGGCCTAATTCATTCAAAAAATTTGGTCACGGTGGATTTCAAACCTCTTAGCTTTTACTTAGATGAGTAAGATATGATTGTTGATTGATTATTTATGTATTGCACTATTTTAAAATATATTCTAAAATTTTAAAATTCATCCCGAATAAATTTTGATAAAGATGTAGTGATCAAAGTTTTCTCCATTTCTAAAGACAGGATACAGTAGAAAAGCAATTAGGGCATCTCCAACCAAACTCCAAACATATGAATGGCGTTGCTTGCGAGCTCCAGCCGAACGGCAAAACTTCTGGTATTTGGTTGCGGGTGAACAGTGCGACGCCAATATTGATGTTGCACTATTCACCTGCGTTATTTTTTGTCTCTACCGAATTTGCCGAAGAAACGCGCCAAAGAGGAGAAAGGCGGTTAACTTCTGCGAAGGGCGCAAAATGGAGTTCGATTGGAGACGAATCACACTATTTTTTAGTTTCATTACATTTTGGAGTAAAAAATGAGATTTTCGGTTGGAGATGCCCTTACCATTGCAACCTCCAAGTTGACATTCAACTGCTCCGGGACCCTAGTCCTTCCGCTGGGTCTACGAGGCTTAGATGTGTAGGAAAAAAGAGTGTCAAAGAAGTCATCCTTACTGTAGGCAGGCTTCAGAGAAGCAAAGACAACTCGTCAGCATTCAGCGAATAATAATGGTAATAAACAATACTAACAATCAGTATATTAAGGGGACATATATTACGTATAATGGATACCTGGATCTTAAGATTTAGAGAATTCTCTTCTTCCTCGATAACATTCACATTACTTGACTGTCCTCTGTCATCAGACTTTACTAGTGCTTGACCTTTGCCAAGGAGGCCCCAGATTTCAGCTTTATTGAACTTCTCATTCATTGCATTGAAATCAAAGTCTTCACTAAAGCTGGTTACTGGCTCTGAGAACTGCAACACAGTTCATCAAGGATCAATTAGTATTTGGAACATGGTGAAAAGTTGGATGGGCAATACATATAAATGTCTTAATTCATCTCAATCTGAAAGCACGACCTTCCGGACTATTTTCTTCAGGATGATTTTTCTATCAAGAAAGAAAACAAGCTAGAAAACCGAACTTGCAAGTTTATCTCAAACAGGAACCACCACCTTCCTAGCTTAGTTTCAATTTTCTCGACAGAAGTTTTGCTAGCTAAAAAGGGAAAATATAAGCAGTATAATCAGGTTCCTTTTCCGTTATAAAATCAGCAAGACAAAATAGGTAAAGGTGCAAATAGCTGTGTGGATAAGCTTTCGTTTGGGGCAGCTTCTTTATTGTGTTCTAAAACAACATTTTAGTAAAAAATTTCTTGAACTTATAAATTTTTGTACTAAAAAGCTGCTTTAGAAAGCAGTAAGAAAGTCATCCCAAACGAAACCTAAATCTGTTAAAATTGACAAAACTGAACACATCAACTATTGTGACTCTAAAAACGATGCTTCAGCTTTTGGTATTAGAGTTGTATTCACTGAATCAATTTTTTGTTCTCTTCCCTAATAAACCGAACTGACCAAGAAGCCGGCAATGGAACTATTGCATGCAGGGACAGATTTCCACAAAACTATGAAAGCGCAAGTGTGCGTGCCGCCTGGTGCCTAAAGGGTAGAGTCGGGCCACTAGCCAGATCGGGGATGAGTCAAATTCAGGTCAAATTCGGGTTGCGGGTTGATCCAACATAACCTAATTTTTCAAACGGATCAAAAATTAAAACAAGAACCTAACTTGTTTGTTAAATGGATCAACCCAAACATAAATTTTTTTGGTCGGGTTCGGGTCGGTTTATCGGGTCGAATCAATAATTTATACCCCTAGTAATCTTCAATCCCATCAATCAAGAAAGGCAATACATTGATCTTCACGTATATGTTTTTTGTTTCTCCTTATGTCAAAAGTAGTCATGGATACTTAGGTTTCAACCCACCATGCTAAGAAAAGCACACCCGAGGCTCACCAAGTGCGTTGCGAGCATCGCCTATGAGTTTCGTCAGTCGACTAAGAAAAATGCACACTGAGTTCAACTCATTGTGCCAAATGCATCACAACTGAGATTTTTAGAGTTTTAGTAACAAGGTTTTTATACCTTCAATGCACGACGGCAAGGGCAACGACAACGAGGTGGCATATTGGTTTTCTCTCCTTTTTGTAGAGAGTGGAGGGGGAGAGGAAGAGAAGGGTTAGGTAGAGAGAGAAACTCTCTCTTCCATTCAAATTCTAAAGAGAGAAAAGAGGGAAAAATTATTCTCTAAGTAGAGAAAGGGAATGAGAGTGAGAGGGAGTTTGAGAGAAAATAAGCTATTGCTTTCTGTTTAGAGAGAGTAACAAATTCTCTCTAGGTTTAGAGAGAGAGGGGATAGGAGGTTTTGATTAGGGCTGTCAATACTAGGTTACGGGTCGAGTTCGACTCCAACCCAAAATTAACCCGGCACCATACGGATCAACCCGAACCACTTCGGGTCCAGGTCAACCCAACACGACCTGTATGACCCGCAAACCATTGAAATCTGATTTTTATTTTTTGGAAAGAAATCTAATTTTTAATGCAGCAATTCAACAAACAGTGAAAGTGTGAAACAACTTAAAAATATAAAATATAAACAATTTATAATTACATCAGGTAGAATGATAGAGTTGAAAACAAAATAATATTACGTATCATTTGGTCATTTACAAATACATAATCACAGATTGAACTGCAATATAAACAATTATAGATTTACAGCAAGTACATTTATAATATTACATATCAATTGCTTACAAAATATTTACAAACCAATTGATCTTTTAGACATTTACAAATCAATTTTGCTCAATGCTCCTCTAGCATCTGTCTTCAAGCACGACATAGATTCAACTATAATAAAACAAGTTAGATCTTTATAAACCTCAGTATATTGCTTAGATTAAACTCTCGAAATCTTTAATCACCTAATAAGGTGAAAGATAAATCAACATTAGCATATTACCACCTAGGGAGACAATTTGTACTTTGCATTAACTTAGTATCTATTCATTTAAATATATAGTATCTACTCTTTCTAACATAATACAAAATTACAAATGTCTCCTGGTTGTAATAACATTTATTCTGATACTATCCCCACTATAATTTGAGAAGGTTTATCATCATTGCTTGATCGCTTCAAACAACAACAAATAATATATGAATTTTGATAGCATATTTTATAATTTCAGGCTTTCATCAAAACAACAAACAGAACAATGAATCAGAAGAAACAACAGCAAATCATACTAACAGCAGCAGAGCCAAAACTGAACAACCAAAATAGATAATGAATCAAAAGCAACAGCATAGATAACGAACCAGAAAAGCAACAATATAGCCGAAACAGAACAACCAAAATAACTCACCAACCACTCCCTACAGAAGCATCAACAAAGATAACTGATAACAAATCACAATAACGTCATTTGACATAGCACTCAACCACTCACTACTAACCAGATAAATAAATTGTTCATAACATAACACTTAACCGCTATGTAATAACACTTGTTCATAACAATGTATTATGAATTAATGAATCACAAGGATAAGATTAATTTGATTTTATTTTCATATAACTGAAGTTTCCCAGCTTCTCCCTAAAGTTGATTTACTGTTAAAGAAAGGATATCTTCAATCACAGCTTTAAGTTCAGGATCATGTATAACTGCAACAAATAATAATATATATTTGAGCTCTTAAGTATTAAAGAATCTAATCCTAGTGCAATTAGATAAGTAAAAGTTCAAAAAAACTGCACCCTTGTCCTTGTATAATCAATCCTTTGCACAGACCAAAGCCTCAACGATATCATGTTTTAGTGCATTCCAATACTGATCAAGGATTCGACCACTTTTGCTAAAATCACTTTCAGAGGCAACTGTTGTTATGGGAATACACAACGTTAAAGCCATTACATAAACCTCAGGAAATCTATACTGATTGCCTTTCCAAAAATGTAGTATATCTAGCTCAATTTTTCTATCTATCTTTGGTTCATCGAGATATATCTCAAATTCTAATTTCTTTGGCATTTCGACCTCCTCCATAATAAGACCAATACTTTTCAAACTTTCCAATAATCCTTATACACATTAGCTTTATATAATCAAGACCCTCTGACAATTCATATTTCAATGTAGCATAAGCTAACAATATACATGGAAAATATAGATTTGTCGTTGGGTACTTCATGCCAGATATAACAAACGTTATATCATAAAAAGCCCTCAAGAAAGTTAAAATTTTCTCTACTCTCTCCCATGCTGAATTTGCTGGACAACATTTGTAGTTGGAGTCACCCAACTCTAGATGTTAGAAAGCCCTTCGGTAATAGATAGCACTTTCTAATATTATGAAAGTGGAGTTTCACCTTGTTGGAACATCTTGCCTTAAGCCCTTTTAGATTCCAGACAACTTTGTCTTACACAATCTAGAAATTTTTGTTTTCTTGCGTAAGATCCTTCAACATATTTTATGCTCTCCCTGATTTTTGAGATTGAACCATCAATCTCCTTGATTCCCTCTTGGATAATAAGATTAACAAGATATGCAGTACATCTAATATGAAAAAACTGACTTTCACATAACAGAACACTTCTCAAATTCAATTGATTTCTCAAGTAGTCTACACATACATTGTTTATGGAAGCATTGTCCAATGTAATACCAAAAAGTTTAGATTCTATTTTCCATTCAAGAAAAATATATTACAATTTTTCAAAGAGCGCTATACAATCATAAGGTGATGGCATAAAAGAAAAACTAGTGATTTTTTTATGTAAATATCATTCATTATCAATATAATGCACGATTAAGCAAATAAATCCATCAGTGTTTATGGATGTTCACAGGTCAGATGTAACACAAACTCTGCTAGTGCACTTACATAACTGTAATCGAATATTAGAAAGCTCTTTGGTGAATAATTTCTTGCAATCAACCCTTGTTGTATTCCTAGAAAATAGTTTATGGATGTCCACAGGTCAGATGTAACACAAACTCTACTAGTGCACTTATATAACTGTAATCGAATATTAGAAAGCTCTTTGGTGAATAATTTCTTGCAATCAATCCTTGTTGTATTCCTAGAAAACAGTTGAACATCCCGATGAAGATAGGTTAGAAGTGCTTGAACACTCAACCATTCAACACATTGGAAGGGCAAATCATGCATTTATGCAAGCAATAAATAAATCATGAAATTTTGCGGTGTCAAACTTATGATCAGTCATAGAAATAGATGTATTAGAACCAGTTTGCAATATGAGCTTGGCCTATATCACGTATATCTCTTCTCTTACAATTTTGCAAGTACCTCGTTACGTTACCAAACCCTTTTTTACTATCACATATGTATTGAGTACCACATTTTTTACATTTACACATTTGTTTACCATCTGTAGGATTAGATAACATCTCAAAATGACCCCAAACCTTGGAAGTCATCCTTCTACACTTCTTAATTACGACTGAACCATCATTACATGCATCATCAGATGCCTCTACCACATTGCCTTTAATGCGAACTTCATCATTTTCTTGAATATAAATCTCAAGAACGGTATTTGAATCCTCCATCTATTAAACCAATTAAATCAAATTATACAAAGGAAAAAGGTAATAGCCAAGTATGATTATTAATTCAATATGAAACAAGTACCTAAATAAGTAAATATCAAATCAACAAGATATTGGCAAGTGCCAAGTGCCAACGACAGAGAATCAGGTATTGCCAAATGCCAACATTATCTCAACAACTCAACAATCATTATCAATGTTCCAATTTCCTATAATAGGTATCAAAGTTTAATCAAACAAAATAATAGATATTGCTATAACAAAGAGTCAAAGAAAGCCAACTACTAACCACAACTCGGCATTTCAAATTTCAAAACCCTAATC